AGCAGAAGTTCTCTGTCAGGGCTGATGAAGGATGAGCTCATTAGCAGCAGTGCAGACACACTGACAACACTACTCGGAATTCATTAGGAAGCCAGGGGAGATGTGTTCATTAAATTAACAGAACCATTGGTCGTGTGCTTTGCAGGGTTTCGCTGGTAGCTGGGTACCAGAAAGGCACGGAGGATGGGGTGTCTCTCCTGTGCACTCTGCCAAAGCTTTCTAGGAGCTGCACCATGCATGAGCCCACCTGATGACAAATTGTGCTTGCTTTCTTCCTGAAGGTTGGTTGAAAAAATCCTTTCAGGACAGAGAAGGAAAGAGAGCAGGATCTCAAGTGCTCACCCTGCTTCCCCCTCAGCACAGCCCGCACTGCAGGGAGCTGCAGGACAGCTTTCAGTGAAAGCTGAAAGCAAAGTGTCAGCAAACAATTAGAAAGCAGGGAAAACAAAACGCTAGAAACCGGGATATAGATCAAGACTGACCTCAAGCCAAGGTTAAGCATTTTCAAAGGTGTTCTGGTGTCCACAACCTGTTCACAGGTCTCTGCCCTCAAAGCACCATATTTCATTTTAAAGGTAGATCATGAGGCAGAACAAAGCACAGCACACCCCAAACTGGAAAGCACAGCACGGACATCAGCACTCCAAACACCAATACCAATTTACAAGTTCCTGTATTGACAGACACATTGATTTAGGCAGTTGTTGGAAGGAGGCTGATGGATCAATGTTAAGGTAAGCAGGTAAGGCAGTTAAAGGTTGGCTCAGAGGAACAGAAGAGGCTCCCCAGCAGCAGACCCTTACCATGGCCAGGGCTGTGGGTGCTCCGGGATCCAGGGGTGCAGCCCCGCCGCCGTCCCGCCGGGTGCGAGCAGGATTTAATCACCAGTGAGTCAAGGCGGAGGCAGGAGCTGTGTGGCTGAGCAGCACAGGGGGCAGTGGCAGGGTGGGGCTGCCCGATGTGCGCCCAGGGAGCCGCAAACGACACTTCCACCTCTCAGGGATCCGCTGGGAAACTGCCCGGGGCGGATGGAGGCGTGCGGAGGGACAGGGCACGGCTCCCCACCCCGTGCCCGGGGAGATGCCCGGGGGCTGCAGGAGGGCAGAGCTGGTGGCTCGTTCCCTTCAGCCCTGGAGCAGCCTCTCCTGCTGCAGCCAGAGACCGGCACAGCAGCTGCCGCAGCTCAGCCACTTCCCACAGTTTGCAAACACATTAAACAACACGTTTAATTCTATTACAGCAGAGCACTAAAGAAGAGCACTTGGTTTTCATACAGCAACACATCACCACTCCAAAGCTCGCTGCTTCATTCAGCGTTGTGATATAGAAATTATTGGTAAAGATGAAAATATAATAAATATATAAATAAATACTGCCAATGCAGAATGACCCAGCTCCACGGTGATGGATGCTCCTGAACCATCTCATTCCACCCCTACCACAGGCAGGGACACCTCCTGCTAAACCAGGTTGCTCCAAGCCCCATCCACCCTAGACTCAAACACCTCCAGGGATGGGGAAGCCACAGCTTCTCTGCCTTTTTTTCCCCCTTCCCCTTTATTGTGATGTATTCCACTGTTAGCAAACATTAACCCTATTAAGAGCTATAAAAAGCTGTTGTAGCTTTTCTATGCAGACAAGGCCAACAGATCAGCTCATATTTAAGCATTACAGAAGCTGATTTAAAATCCCAACACTGATTTAAAGCTGATTTAAAATTCCAATTTAAAAAGCCAACCCTGGCTTCTCATTTACCAGCTTTTAAATATGTTGTCCATTCAGGCAACTGCTGTTGCACTGAAGGATAAATTGGGGCTGAATAAATGGAGCGTTTCTTCCTTCCCACTGCGGTAACACCTCAGGGAACTGGTGAGGGAGCAAGAAATGCTCCTTAATGTCCTTCCAGTAGGTTTGCATTTGTGCTGGATTTACAGCTCTGTGGCTGTGGCATTGGCTCCTTGTGTTTCTGAGCACAGGTTTCCAACCCTTGGTTATTTTGAGGCTCTCCCAGTCACCTGTAATTCCATTGCCTTCAGACAGCTCTGTCCCTAAGGAACACCCGGTCTGGGGGTCTCAGGGGGTCTCTCTGGTTGCCAGAGAGGTCTGTGCCCAGTGCTCCCTGCCTGGTGCCATGGGCTCTGCTCCTGGCACAGCAGGCTGCAGATGTGCTGCCCTGCTGGGAAGGGTTCAGCCAGGGCTGAGCCAAGCTCAGCATGAGGAACCAGAACAAACCCCAACAGCTCCATGGGGTAACTCGTAACGGCAGCACTGGGGCCCCTCTGCGAGCCCTTAACGGGAACAACGGCTGGGCTGAGCAATCCAGCAGCAGTTCCCTGCATTTCCCAACAGGGAACAGCCCAACCAGCAGCTCCAGGAACACTGAAGACCAAAATGACTGTCAGTTCTGTTTCTAGGGCGGTTGCTGGTTGGTTTGTTTGTTTGTTTTTAAACCAGTGTAGTACTTAAAAAAGTGAAGGGCTCTTAAGAAATGGATACTGATGAAGCCCTGACTGCTGCAGCTGCTTTGGGGGTGATTTATTCCCTCTTCCACTCACGAATGTGAATTCATTCTCTCCATGCACCTGCCCCTGCACCATGTTTTGTACAGGTGAGTCTGTGACCAGCCTGCCTGTGCTTGGGCATCCTCAGAGGGTTTGATCTCTGAGGGTGGATCTGCTCCTCTGTGAGCCCCACCGTGGGGATGGCAAGGCTGAGCTCAGTCCCTGACTGTCAAACACCAAATCCCACCTCAGCCTCTGCTGGGAGACAGACCCAAGCCTTCCCTTGGGGTGATTTGTCCTGCTTTCTGGTGTAGATAAATGAGTTCCTCACTGCAGCTCCAGCCTGTCCTGCCAGTGATGCCGATGGTGCAGCTTTCACTGCCTCATTTTGTGCCACACCAGGCAGCTCCAACCCCAAAAGTCTATTTTAGGAATCTAAAAAAAAGCATACAGTCCAATCAATCATGAGTCCATACTTAGGTGCTGATACTTAAAAGACATTTACCTCTGTTTCCAAGAGAGTCCTGTAAAAAACACAGAGCGGGAGGTTGGCAATTTTTGGCTGGCATTGTTGTTTAGAACATAAATTTTCCTTCTGCCTTGCAGGTGGGCATTGAGCACTCCCCTGTCCCTGATGCAGCCACTGCCTGAGCCACAGCAGAGGAAATAGGGAGGGTCCCCCAGCTTTGCTCCAGGGGTCCAGCACCCCTGGAGGGAGGCAAAGCCAACTTACCCCAGCCAGTGTGGGGGACAGCAGTGCTGCTGCTGAGGGGTGCCTTGTGGGCACGTCTCCTCCAACACAAACATCTGCTCTGAACAGCCTCTCAAGCAAGACTTTGTCTGCCATGTATCTGGAAACCCCAACTGGGCTCATCCCACTGGCATTTACATCCCAGAAATGCCCATCCCGGGCAATATTTTTGTGGACATGACCCTAACACTGTATAGAAAGTCAGATCAAAGGTGTTACTTAGCAAAACCCCAAAGCCAGACTTGCTCAGGAATACTAAGTGGCTGTTAATTGTTTTCAAGTGTGAGAGGAATAGAGCTCCAGTGGAGATTCCTGCTGCCAGCAGGTAGGAGCCCATTCCATGGATGAGTGTGGGATGTGCTGGCAGTGCTGCAGAGAGACCCAAGAAATACCTTCCAAACACACTGGGAGTGAGCACACGAGCACGTCCAGAGGGTGTGCAAACGTGCAAAGGGAGACCCACTGAACCCCTGCTGTTCCCCTCCTCAGCAGCCCCACCCCAACATCACCAACACTCACATTAACAGCAGCAGCAGAAATAAAACAGCTCCTGGAGTTTGCCCTGGGCTGTCTGCAGCAGCCACCCTTTGGCTCCAGCACACCTGCTACTGCTCCCTGACAAATGGGACATGAGTGACAAAGCACATTGCATTGTAATCAAAGACTAGTTTAATTTTTATACTCAGCTTAAAAAAGATGAAAAGCACAGCAATCATCCCATACACGTTCCATCTGAACAGGTTGCACACAACTCAGGAAAAACAACCCAGAATTACTGAAGATTCAGTACCTTTTATGCAAAAGAAAAGCAGGATACACAAAGCACATGGCCATGGTTTGATTATCTTAAACCAACAGCCAACCCCCGTATTCATGCTTCAAAGTTTTAGGGTTTATATTTAGCACACAAGACATTTACACACAGGTTATTTGTTCCACGCAGAAAGCTGAACTCTTTTTCAAACCTGTAAAGCTACTAAGTTAATTTTACTTAAAAAAAATCATATGTAAAAACTACCAAACAATTTTAAGGACAATTAGAACACATAGTACATGACTTATCAGATAAGTAGAGCATGGACCATGCAGCAGTGCTATTGTAAGGCTGGGACCTTCACAGCTTCCCTTTTCCTGATGAAAATCCAGAGCTGGTTTGTTGCACTATTTCCTGCTAGTTCAAGGATTAAAGAAAGTGAGTAAGACAGGTGCTTTTTAAAAAAAAAATTTAACAATCCCCCCCAAACCCCAAAACACTTGCACAATTTTTCAGCCATCCCACTGGGTTTCCAAGTGCTTCCCTGGAGCCTTGTTGGGGAGGGACAGCAGCCCCAGCCCAGCCACTGCCTGCCATGGGTGGGTCCCACCAGCTGCCTGGTCCTGGTGCCCCCATCCATCCCATCACCCCTGGCAGCAGCAGGGCCTTGCTGGCACATCCCAGGGGAAACAGGAGCCATGAGGGACAGGGAGAAAGCAGCCACCAGTGACCTGGCCCGCTGGCACACGCCTGTGGCATGGGGGTGTTGTGATGGGAAGAAAGAAGCAGCAACAGAGACAAGACACCAAGTGCCAGAGGCTGCAGGGCCGGGAGGGGAAGCCCAGGGAAGTGCCAAGCAGGTTTGAGGCTCAGACAGCACTGGAAGAACGCTCAGATCAGAATCAGGCTGATTTCCTGTCAGAGAGGATGGAAAGGCTCCGGTCCCAGCTCTGCAGAGCACCTTGGCCATGGCAGACCCGGCCCAGAGCCGGCACAGGGCGTGGGGAGGCTCAGAGGTTCTCGTTCAACCACCCCAGGAATCTGTCGAAGAGCCGGTGGCCCACGGCCAGCTCGAAGGGCCACGAGACGAACATGAGGGCCCCGTGGAAGGCGTCCTGCGCGTGGTCGTGGGTGACGCTCACCCCCGCGTCGCGGAGCCGCCGCGCGTACATCACCCCGTCGTCCCGCAGCACGTCGTGCTCGCAGGTCAGGATGTAGGTGGGGGGCAGCTGGCGCAGCAGGGCATCGCTGACCAGCAGCGGGGATGCCCGGGGGTCCAGGAACCCGGGGTACCGCTGTGCCAGCTCCGCGCTGCCCGGCGAGGGGGTCACGTACTCGTGCCCCCTGCGCATCCCCGCGGGCAGCAGCCGGCTCCAGTTCACAAACTGGAACAGGTGACCTGCCTCGGCAGGGACGTGCCTGTTGGAGGCCATGGCCTCCCTCAGAGCGGGGTCTGACGTGAAATACTCGCTCCAGAACCTGACCATGAGCGGCCCGGACAGGAGGGGCTTGTCGGCGTTGTCTCGGTAGGACGGCAGGTCCAGGTCCAGGGCCTGCAGGGCAGGGTAGAGCAGAACCTGGGCTTTGAGCTTGGTTTTGACTTCAGGGTCCTGCAACAGCTGTAGGAGAAACCAGAGATAATTTCAAAGGGTCAGTGAAAGTGCTGGTTCTCCCACACTGACAGAAGATCTGAAGTAAGGAAATGAGACACTTATTTCACAACATGAGCAAAATAAGATCAATAAAACCAGGATAGAGTAAAGAAATTCTGAATCCATAGGTGGGTCACCTAAAACAATGTACTGTGCTAAAAATTCTCAAACATCAAATACAGTTGCATTTTATTTCTTATGTTGAAGGATAATGATATTTGGGAAATACTCTTTTGGAGGCTTTAATGCTTTCTGAAGTATTAACCAATTTTTTTTCTGTAACTGTAGAAATTTTCTATTCTTATATCACGAAAATTTCACATTTCTGAATCTCCTTTAATAATTTCCCACAATTTGGAGCTTATCCACCTGGTTGGTTTTTAGCCCTGAGGTGTTACAACTCAAGCAACTGCAATTCTGTGCATTTTAGAGATGTGACAAATAAAATGTGATTAATTGAACACTAACATTTCTTATATGTTATTCTTTTCCCCTCTTCACTAATAAATTTTTCATTTTCTCCCTCATCTTCTGCCTTCAGCAACCACAGCAAATTCACCACTGTTCCCAGTGAGATCCATTACAATCCAAACAACTTCTCAAGAGAGCAACAACATCACGTTGGCTTTTTTTTAATAATCCTGAGTGAGAAGCACAAAAGGCACTGAACTGTGTGATCAGACCCTGGAACACTTAGAGATGGTTTTTTGTTTGGTGGGTTTTTTTTACCCTGCTATTTACATCTTTATGAGTCAAACTGTTAAAATTCCCTTTTCAAACACCATACCTAGACCAGTCAATATGTGCTTAAGGTCAGCGTGATGTATGCCCCCATGAGAGGGCAGAGAGCCCTTTTTAGGGTATAAATGTCTGGATGGCACCAAAGCTCCTCTGCTGCCAGTGAGTGGCTCAGGCACATTGGCTCCCATGGGCTGTGGGATGTCCTGTGTGCACAGACCACCAGAGCTGCTTTGAGCTCAGGTGTTTGTTAGCGGTCACAAAATGACAGGAATAACTATTCTGGGCTGGCAGCCCAGGCTTTGGTCGTACCTGCTGTGCCACAGCCGCAGCCAGGTTGCCCCCAGCGCTGTCCCCTGCGACACAGACCCGTGTGGGGTCCACCCCGTACTGGGACAGGACCCTGCTCTGCAGGAAGAACTTGGTCACTGCGTACACATCCTCAAACGGCACCGGGAAAGGGTGCTCAGGGGCCAGCCTGTAGCTGTGGGGGAGAGAAATGTGTCAGTCCCTGCTGTTAACAAAGAGAGGGGCTCGCTGATGTCTGCCTGAGCTGGGGGATGTTTGTTATTTCTGCACCCAGAGAAGTGGGAACAGTCCATTCAGGACAGCCCAGTATTCTGGTACCCCCCATCTTCATAAAGCCAAAACAGCCACCCACCACAATTCTCCACTGCCACCCTGATGGCCTCAGTTCACAGATGCTTATAGCCAGCAGGAAAACACATGGCCAAAGACAGAGGTATTGCAAAATTACTTTAATTGAAACAAATCGATTTATCCCAAACCCTCATCCCACCTGGAAGGAGAATCTCTCTTACTTGACTGACACCACAACAGCATCGAGCTCGTTTGAAACCCGCCGTGCCATGTGATCGTAGGGTTTCATGCCTGAAACGAAACGAGTCACTGCAATACACCCCAGGACTTGTGAGAACGGACCCACACACAGCCTAAAGCTCCTCTGGGCAGGAGCTTTCAGGTGACCTTCCCAAACCTCCACCTGCTTTTAACTCTTGACACACCAGCTCCCTGCCCCTCCCCTGTGGTGAGTCCCATGAAACAAAAGGCAGCGCTTGACACGGGCTGGTGAGACCTTCCCCACAGACCCCTGGCACCAAGGGAAAAGCACTCACCTGCGTCCCCCAGGCACCACCCCCCGCCGTGGAAGTAGACCATGGCCCTCCTCAGCCCCTCAGGTGCCCTCTTGGGCAGGTACAGGAGCACGGGGACGTTGTTGAACTCGGTGTGTGTCACAGTGACGTCCTCATCGGATGTGACCATGACGGTCTCCAGAACTGTGATCAGCCTCATGCCCTCCATGTAGTGCATCAGCCCCAGCAGATCCAGAGCTGTGGCCTAAAGACAAACAGTGCTTTCAGTGCAGCCTCAGCTACTCTCAGATTAAATCTCCAGGAAGGCACTGGATGCTCTGTGTGAGCCTGGGAATTGCTGTGTAGGTCACGACAGCAACACGCCCGGGTGTGTCCATCTGATGGGAGCCTGGCAGTGAAAGGAGCACTGGGTGACTGTCACTCACTCTGTGTCACTGCTGCCCAGCTGGGGCAGAGCCCAGCGCTGGCACTGGGGCTGCTGGTCTGTACCTGCACTCAGACCGTGCTCAGTGTTTGTGTGGGTCACCTGCACAGCACAGTGACCAGCTCAGGGACCCACCAGCATAGGGATGGTGCCACAGAGAGCCACCAATGCCACCCACAGCCCCTGTGCCTGCCACTGGCACCAGCATGGCATGGGGATGGCACAGGGATCACACTGCACAGAGCCACCGATGCCACCCACAGCCCCTGTGCCTGCCACTGGCACCATAATGACATGGGGGTGGCACAGGGATCACACTGCACAGAGCAACCCACGGCCACTGCTCCACTGCCAGAACTGCCCCCAGCTCCCCCACCACTGCCCCTGGTGACAGGACACAACCCACTCCCCACCCCAGCCCCCTCCCTGCCTCATCACCTCACAACAGGAACAGTCAAGTAACAAAGCCAAGTTCTTACACGTTATCTGAAGGTGCAAACAGGTGAAACTCAGAGCAGGTTCGAGTTTAAAAAGAAATGAAACAGCCGAGCCTGGTGCAGAATCTGTTGGAATTTTGGCTTCCAAGAGATGCTTTACTCTCCTCAGGAAGAATGTGAAGCCTCCACACTGTAACTGGTCACCTGCTGGCAGGTGTAAGCTCTGGCATTCAGCCTTTGATGGTGTAAGTCACACAGTCTGACCCTGCTTGGTTTGCTTGCTGTGTTTTTTTTTCCAGGAGCACAGAGCTCAGCCCTTACTCACAGTACCTGACAGCCACTGTCACCATATTTTACCAGTCACCTCCCTCTGAAGGCTCGGAGCAGGTGGTGCCAGGAGGAGCCCTGCCAATCCCAGGGAGTTGGAATTGGGATGGAGATGAGTGGGCAGTCCCTGGCACACCACAAAGGGAAACACAGGCCCTTGCCTTCAGCTCCGTGAAAACAAACACTCGTGTGCCAGAGCTGCAGTTTTAGCCACAACATTTACATAGTTTATGTAAATATTTCTCAACTGTTGCCTTTTCCCCCAGGATTAGTGTCTTGAAATAACAAATATATCTGTCAAAGTGAGCCCTGCTGTGATTCCACTGAGCTTGTGAAACCCCCATGGTGAAAGGAATTCCCTGAGCCCCAGCACGGAGGATTTTCAGCCCTCCCACAGTTGTGTTTTCCACAACTGGACAATTTGCATTGTGGAAAACCACAGAGCTGCTGCCTGCGGTTTCCAGGCCATTATCCTATGGAAATGAAAGGAAATCATGCTCTCCTATGAAAATCCTCATTGTCCCAGTGTGAGATTACAGGGTGTCACAGGTTAACAGGGAAACCAACCACTTTGGGGTTTGGGATCCTCGTGCATTTTCCACAGTCACTCCCTCCCTCTTCCATAAAGGAGCAGGGCAGAAAGAACAAAACTCCCAAATACATGGAGGAGGAGGAGGAGGGGAGCCTGGCTGTGCCTGGGCAGGCAGAGCACTCACACGACTTTCAGCAGCTCAGTTATCCCAAGGGGTGATGCTCCAAATGGGACACTCTCCAGAGCAGCTCCCCATCAGCTGCAGGGACACAGGGACACAGGGACACAGGGACACAGGCAGGTTGTGAGTGGGGCTGGAAAAGGCCTGAGTCTGGGTCTCAGTGTTTCTGAGGAGTGGGGCCAAGAAGGGAGGGAGCTTTGGGAGGACGGGAGTCACAGAACCACAGCAAAGACCTTGAGCTGCACTTTATACTTTCAACCGAGGGCATGGAGCACTTCCTAAAACACCTGAAGCGTTTTCTGCTCAAGGACCAGAGCAAGTGGCTGGTGCATTCTTGGAGGCTGTCCCCCAGCTGGGCAGCTCGGGGCCATGGGACATGGATGGGCAAAGGGAGACATTCCCAGCCCAAGGGAGACATTCCCAACCTCCCTGCTGCAGTGGGACTGGCACAGAGGGGTGGGCTGGGCACACCCCAGCAGGGCTGCTGGGCTGGGGGCTCCCCAGAACCCACCACAGCACGGGGCAGGGAGATTTACCACTTCATGGTGCTCTTGGCACATCCTTTTGTGAGCTCAGAGAGGACTCCACTGCTCAGGAGTGCTTGAGGGCAGCAGTTTGCTCCCTGTGTTCAAACTCAAAGGCTAAAGCAGGGTCCCCTCTGCAGACCTGCCATGAGTGACCACGAGTCACTGCCCTGCAATCAGTTGTAATTCAGGATATATTTAGGGTAATTTAGAGCCACCTCAAACCTAATTTACAGCAGTGCAGCTCCAGGGAGGCTGTGGCTGTCTCCATCCGAGTCCCTGGGGGTTGAGGTTCCACAGGGGATCAGAGCAGAGTCACCAAACCCCTGCCCACAGCAGCACTGTGTGGCTCCAGAGACACCAGCTCTGTGTGCCAGTGACAGCATGTGATCCATCAGCACACAGACAACACTCCTGGCTGGCACTGCTGTGCCAAGGGCGACAGTCTGACCCAGCCCGGGCAGGGGTGCCCCGGCAATGAGCTCCCCGGGCACGGACCCTCCTTGCAGGCCCCCTCCAGCAGGAGATTTGGGAGAGGAAGCAGCAACACAGTGCAGACTACAGATTCTTTCCCACCCCTTTAAATCTCCCACCACAAAAAAAAAAAAAAAAAAAAAGAGAGAGCAGCAAAGAGTCCACGATACACACCAAAAAACCCTCGTCCCTCACCCCTGCTGGCTGCACAACCCTGATAAAGTCTCCCCTGCTGACAAGGGTTGCCTCACGGAGATGGCTCTGGACATCAACAGTGGCTTTTAGATACACTCCAGAGTGATGTTTGGGAGACACCCTTGTCTCCACCAAAAAATCAAATGCAGTGTCTCTCGAGGACTTCTGAGAATCACACCCACTACATTGTAACTGGAATGACAGAAAAGGCAAACCCAAACTCGTGCCCTTTGGAGCCAGCAGCCCAGGTGCTGGTGGCTGCAGCAGCCCAGCCCTCCAGCAGCATCCCCCCAGCAAACCCAGCAGCTTCTCCCTGGCTCCTTAGACCCCCCTCTTTTAACAGATATTTTATTGTGCAAAAAGAAAAGCAGCCTCACAACATTTGTAGTCACCCAGGAAGATGTTTGCAACACTCAGCCCTCTTCCTCCCCCCAAACCTTCATCTTTGACCCTGTTTTTAGGTTTCAGTCACGCTGCTGCAGCCACATTGTGCAGCAAGGACAGCCTGGGTCCAAACCAGCTCCCAGTCACTGCACCTCGGAGGTGGGAGCTCCAGCACCATTATTTACACACCATGTGCAGCTTCACAGACCAATTAGTGGTGGAAGGGTTTGTAACACGCCTGAAGTGAAGCAGAAACCAGGGATGTCATACATGTTAAAATAGCCCAGAGGGACACACAGCCCATGCTGGCAGTAAACACTGGCCCAGAGCTGCAGCCAGGCTGTGACACCACCACCTGCCCAGGCTGGGACACAGCTCTGCTCTCAGGAGCTGGAGACCAGTTTTACATAGGCAAGATCACAGTAGTATTAAAAGAAGTTTTATTTTTACATATATATGGCTTGATCTCCACATGCTCTAGCACTATCACCCCTACAATTACTTTGGTGTAGTTTTTAGGCTCGTTCTGTCAGTAGATTTCCGTGAAACCACAAAAATCAATAGTGTTTAGGAGCAGCTCTAGTTTTCCCTCCCCTGACACCCAACACTGCCGAGGGATCTCAGTACACAGGGGCTGAGAAACAGAATGATTTGAGCTTCAGCTGCACTGTAAAGCAAAAGAAACTCATCTGTGCTTGTCTGTGGTCACACCCAACATCATATTCCAGCTACTCCAAATGGCCTTTTCTCAAGATTGCACAATTAAATCTTTTCTGTTCTCAGATCTATCATAGCTGCAGTAAGTTTAATGCTGAGTTTCACCTAATACAGCCCTTCACTCAGTACACCACCACAGACACACAACACATGCAGCATGGCACACAGGTATTGCTGTGTCTCCAGGAGCCCCAGAGCCACGAGAACCCCCCTGCACCCACTCACCAGGTGCCCCACGGCCCTGAAAGGGGCAGAGGCGAACATCACGGTCCAGGGCTCGGCCAGGTCCGCGGGCAGGGGGGTGTAGATGTAGTAGGCGAGCAGGGCTGGCAGGAGGCAGAGGCAGAGCAGCTTGGCCCCCATGGCTGCAGGCTCCGCTCTGGGGCCGGGGAGAGCAGCTCTCACCGACTCTGAACGGCCACAAATCAGCACAGGGCAAAGTTAATCCCGTGTTTTGTTTGAGCCCCGGCCAGGGGGTGATTTCTCGCCGGATCACACGGGGCAGAGGTTACTCCACTCTGTGGCTCCCGAGAAAACACGTTTCCCCAGCAAAGGCGTGCAGCCACTGGGAGTGACCGAGCTGGCACGCCGAGCCGGGATTAAACAGTGAGGCTGCACACTCAGCACCCCGTCCCTGCCCTTGGCACCAGCGGCCGGCCCCAGGGCTCTGCAGGGGAGAGGTGTTGAGAAATGAGGGGCAGGATGTGGCTGTGAGCTGCACACGGTGACACCCAGATGTACACACAGGGGTTGGACATTCAGGAGCCACTCCGGAGGGCAGCAGCTCAACCAGAGCCCTGGACACAGCCATACCCACTGGGGCAGGGGCTCAGCAAGAACCCAGCTCATGGGGATGCCTGGTGGGATCAGCCCATGGCAGCCCCTGAGCCACTGCCACTCCCCAGGCAGCGACTGGCACCTCCTGCCCTGGCAAAGGCACCTTTGCCTCACACAGCACACCAGCCCCTTGTGCAATAGCAGGGTTGGCAGATAAAACAAGCTTTTACAGGGCAGGGCTTCTGGCTAATGTTTGACAGATCAGATCTAATTGCTACTGTTCTCAGGATTAAGAGATTTCTTCGCACCTTCCAGAGGCCACCACTTCTGCAGAGGGTGGACAGGTAGGAGTCAATTCAAACAGGTGATAATTTCACCAAGGAAACACTACAGCTGCAGGCACACACACAGGGAGGGGTGAACAGAACAGCTGCAGCCCCAGGAACCCTGCTTTAGAGATAACTGAGGGGTTTTACCTTTTCAGTTTAAAATTTGAGTTATTTCTTGTGCTGAAGTTCTACCAACAGCGAGGCACCACATCCCCCTGCCCTCATACTGAGCAGCCCGAGGGGCTGGAACACAAAACATCACAGAGGCTTCAAGATGAACCATGTGCCACCAGCCCAAACACAGAGGAGAAGCAGACCTTATTCAAACTTTCAGACATTTGCTTTAAGTTCTGGGTACCTCCAAACTATTTAAGTGGTTTTAAACTCCATCTGTGCTCTCCTCCTCAGTCAGGACAAGACACCCCGTGCTCCCTCCTCAGTCCTTGTGCAGCACAGCAGCTGGTTAAACACAATGTTCTTGACCCACTCCAGCAAAACCAAGAGGACAGAGCTCTGTGGTCACTTCACCTGCCCTGGGAGCCCCATCAGGTGCTGGGGAGAGGGACAGGAGAGCCCAGCCTGGCACAGTGCCTGGGTGCCAGCAGCAGACTCTCGTGTACACGCAGGGCTGGACACAGACCAGCAAACCCATCCCCTCTTTTGCACAGCTCAGACCTTTCCTCGGGGGCTCTGAGGTAAAACACAGGTAAAGGATCCGGATTTCAGGTCACACAGGAAGGGAAGGCACAGCTTGGTGATGGGGAATGGAGGACAAAGCCCTCTCCTGCCCTGCCCCTCGCCAGGAGTGGCAGGAGCTCCCAGGACAGCTGCTCTGTGTGAGCACTGCTCTGGCACGGGGAAACAGGGCAGGGGAAGACATGGCCAGACCTGGAACCACCACAGAACTGGTGCTTTATTTATATATTTTTATATATAACTGGTGCTCTCCTTCCATGCTGGTCCCAAGCTGGAAGCACAGCTGTGCAGTGGCAGCCCAGGCTCTGCTCTGTCCCTGCCCTGAGGTCACCTTCAGCTGAGGCAGGAGCTCACAGTGCTCAGCCTTCAGAGACCAACATCTCATCTTCTGGCAGATCCAGCCAGCCCTCTGCCCTCCAATAAACTGCCCCAGCAGCCTTCCCTGACCCACAGCACTCCCAGATAGAGGGAATCATAAACTAAACTCACCATTTACCCAAGGGAACCCTAAAGCATCACATGTAACACGGGAATGCCCTGATGCCAATTTTATTAGATCCCTTTCAGTCAAAGGGGCCAGCTGGGACAGCACAAGACCCCTCTTGGACAAGGGATGGGGTGTCAAGTGAAACACGGGATCATTAAACTCCAGCTCAGTCCCATGCAGTGTCACCCTCAGTGCCACACCCAACACCAGCCTGCACTCTGCCAACCCTCTCCAGAGCCAGCCCCAGCACCCACCACTGCTGGTTTGCTGCATATCATCTGCTCTCCCACTGCTCAGAACTTTCTAAAGCAAACAAACACTTGGTTTAGTCTTTTCCCTCTTTATTTAATTTCGTTAAATAAGGTTGAACAGAGCAACCTGGTCTAGCAGAAGTTGTCCCTGCCCATAGCAGGGGGTTGGAATGAAATAATCTTTGTGATGCCCTCCAGCCCAAACCATTCTGTGATTATATGATGATGAAACCCCATTTTTCTGCTCTTCCTCCTCACACCATGCCAAGAGCCATGCAGCATGCCCTCCTTGCCAACCTCTGCATTTCCACGTGTTCCAAGCTGCTGGCATTTCAGAAAAAAAATTAATGCAAAGTTAAGCAGACTGAAGCCAAGGTTAAAACTGCAGTGGGAAGAAGAGCAGCCAGCATGTCAGGACACTCAGGGCTGGGATTGCCTGTCATCACAGAGTGCTCAGCCATGGAGAGACAGGCAGGGACTTGCTCAGGTGCTGACCTGCCACCTGGATAAGTCAGCCCAGCTAAAAATATCAGATTGAGTTGTCAAGGTGTGGTTTGGAAAGGAGAAATACGTGAGCTTATAACCTCACATCGTGGTTGTAACACTAATCGGGGTTTATAACTTACAGCTGTTTGTAAGAGCAATCCCTGTTCAGCTCTCACACACCCCTGTTGCAGTTCCCCTTGCTGTCGTATCACAGCATTCCAAGCCCTTGCTTTGCCTGTCACAGAATCGTTTGGGCAGGAAAAGCCCCCAGAGCATCGAGTCCAACCCCTCCCCAGCACTGACCCACGTCCCCAAGTGCCACAGCTACACATCCCCCCCAGGGATGGGGGTTCCAGCTGCTCTGGGCAGCTGTGCCAGGGCTGGGCAACCCTTCCAGGGAACAATTATTTCCCAATACCCAGCCCAAACCTGCCCTGAGTTCAGGTGCCCTGCATTGCCCCGGGAGCTGGGCACGTCCCTGGTGTGGCAGTGGCCGGACAGAGGGGTGCCCCTGGCAGGGACAGCACCCCCGGGCTGTCCCTGGCACCCACAGCACCCCCGGGGCTGCCCCTGGCACCCACAGCACCCCCGGGGCTGCCCCTGGCACCGGCAGCACCCCCGGGCTGCCAGGGTGCCCTCACTGTGCAACGGGCACAATTCCATCCCGATGCAGTGTTTTAGGAATGAAGGGAGAAGCCACAGGGAGGCAGTGCAGCCCTGCAGACCGTTTCCATTCCACCAAACCAGGGCACCCGAGGGCCCTCAAAACCCCGTGAGGAACAGGAACACCAGTTCTATCCGTCCTTCCCTCCAGTTCTGGCAGGGACAGGCTGTGACTGTCACCTCAGGAACAGAGGAAGGGTCACAGCACAGCACTGCTGCCAGTGAACGTTGTCCGCATTTGCCTTTGGTCAATCAAGTTACCACCTTGTAGTAAAAAGCAAAAATTACTTATTCTGCCCTTTAAAGCCTCTGATGAACACCCACCAGTACAGTCAGACCAGCTGAGAACACCCCTTGAACCCTGAAACAGCTTTTGGGTTGATATTCAGAAGCCAGTACTACATTTCACATCACTTCACTAAGTTTCAGGTATTTCTGTTTTCTTTCTTCTTTATTGCTATCTGTACTTTTTAATGGCATTTACAGGACTTGGAATTGGCCTGCTTTTACAAAACGAAATATGGTATCCATAAGACACTTTATACAAGAGAATTTGGATCCTGCTTTTCCATCTGTTGCTTATTACCAAATTGCAAGTTGTATAAATGGAAACAAATGTCTTATTTGACAATACATTCGTACCCTGAGCTGAGAAAAGCAATTCTCTGAAGCTTAAATAAGCTGAACTTTAGCACACGCAGTATTTCTGAACACATGACAAAGCAGCAGCTCCAGAAACAAGATGGTTTCATGAAGGCATTAAAGTAGCCAATAAAACATCTCCCAGCTCAGTCTGAATAGCTCATTATCATCAGGATAAGATAAGGGGAGGTTTGAAATAAGTCAGTGTTCTGCTTTGATGCTTTCAGAATGAAATCTTGTTCACAAACACGCGACTTTTCACTGTTTGGCAGGAAGGCAGCAGCAGTTTTGCTCTTTGCTGTCCCTCTCCCAAGTGAAGCAGCAGGCCCAGAGCAGCAGAGCTGGGTGCACTCCTGCACCAGAGCCTCTCCCTCTGAACCAGCACAGCCACTGCTCTGGAGGCACATCAGGACAGAAACCCCCTCACTGAGCACACAGAGAATCAGATCTGCCCACACTCCCAACCACCTCCACTGATTCCTGTCCTGCCTTAAGTTTCAAAGGTCAAAACAATTTAAGAAACCCAGACTTATAACAAGAATTCCATCCAGCTCACACCTCTCATTCCCAGCTTCTCAATGTTCACGTAGTTCTAGTTCTCACACAGTTTCCCATTTTTACAGCAATAATTGTATTCCTGAATCCAGGATCCAGCAGCAGATTGCTGGAGTCAGATTTGCCGTCCCAGGGGAACAGAGAATGGCAGAGAAGGGACCTTGCAGACAATCAGCAGGAATCTTACACAAAACTGAAGCAATTCTGATAAAATTGAAGCCCAAGGCAGCCACCTGGGAAGGGGATTGACCGCCTGAGGGACCATGAGGAGGAAGAGACATTTGGGAAATGTTTGCATTGGGTTTGGATTGTTTACTCAAACATGCCCCTGACTCTGTGTACACGTGTATGCAGCAGAAACACATGTTTAAGGCTTAATTCTGAAATCAGCAATGCTTTGGGATTGCAGAGTCACTGGGGTTGTAAGGGATGAGGAACAGGAGAGATGTTATCCAAACCAGAGGCCACAACTTCTGCAGCTGAGCTGGAGCACCACACAGGGACCAAGGGAAAGCACAGGGTCTGTTCTTCAAATTACAGCTTGATTCATAAACAAAGGCATTAAATAAAATGGAACATGAAACAACACACGCTGAAAGCATCAGTCCTTGAGCCTTGGCTTGGGACATCCTTTTTCCCATATTACTGCCCATTTGTTATTTCCCATTTCATCCTCACAGGAATGTTTGTGGGCAGCAGATTTTGGGATACCACA